AGTCTCGAAAAGTGGTTTCAGCAGTTTCAGTGGGGGGGGGGGGTTATTAATTTAATTGACGGATAATTGGTCACATTGTTTATATGTTGGAAGAATGGAAGCATGATTTTATTTCATGGTCATTTAATAAAGTGTTAGGTTTTAATTTTTATATATGTACCTTATTCAATTAAAACAAATCGTAAATGTACATGTAACTATACGGAAGCCCGTTTAGGCCAGTTCAGAGAAAGATATTTTTATAACGTTTAATCGCAATAATTATTGTGGTATAAATAATGGACTTACAAAAAGTATATAAAAAAAAGTCAGTCAGCATTTGACTCAATGATATATTGTATTTACTGACAAATTCATTGCATCGACCATAGAACTTACGAAATGATAATTTTGAACGATACTACTAAAATTCTACATTTAGTTTCATCAACTTGTTTGACAATAATTTTTCTCGTTTTAGAAATAGTTCATAGGTAGAGCATGCTCTTGCGTATCAAATCAACTGAGAACTATCTAAAGATACCACAGAGTCAGACACATCTGTTTTATGTTTAGATATTCTACTTAAAATATGTGTGAACGGGAATCTAACAGCAAACCTTTATGAAATACATGACAATATTTCTTTCAACTTGTACTGGTGTAGCTATATAATCTTCCAACCTGCATATGAGATTCATAACTCAGTTGAATCGATACACAATGGTATACTTTACATATGCAAATTTTCTTAAACTATGTAAATTATTGACAAGCAAGTTGCTGAATTGAAAGATGAGGATAAAGGAACTGTATTCAAAAGTCCATAAAGCAATACAATATAGAACCAAAACAGACAGAGGCCTCCAAAACATTAGGAATGAAATTAGGTGCCATTCAGGAGTGAGCATCTCTTGCCTTACTGTCAGACCAGCCGTGTGCTCCTTGTCATGATCGGGAAATAACGGGAAAAACCGTCGAAAATTTAACTTGTAATACAATGAGAATGAAAAACGTCGGTCAGCATTCGACTCAATGATAAATTGTTTTTTATGACAAGGTCATTGTATCGACCATAGAACTTACAAAATGATGACTCTAAAGGAGACTTGTGAAATTCTTGTTTCATCAACTTGTTTGTCAATAATTTACCTTGTAGAAATTGGTCACACGTAGAACATGCTCTTGCGTATCGAATCAAATGAGAGATATAAACTCCATATTATGTTTAAAAGTTATTTAATTTATAAGTTAGGAAAGTTGATGATTGAAAAGTTGAAGTCGCGTTTATCATAGAGCATGATTTTAAGATTACAATCAATGTATTTTTAAAGTAATATATGCAGATGTACATTAGATGTGTCAGACGGTGTGGTATCTTTTATCTCAGGCTCACCGGGATATGTTGTATCAACTGAAAAAAAAAATAACAATTGTTAATTGACAATACATCGTCGATATATGTAAAAAAAAGTCGAGTTGAAGGCCACATGTATACGAATTTGCACAAATTCGGCTTCATATGAATACAAAGAAGGTCTGTTTATAACGGGTCGCAATTGGTACCTATGGGAAATCCAATAGATTGTTGGAAATCGGGATCTTCAGAAACCACATAGATATTGATAATCAGAAACTTGGGCATCATTTCTATGTCAAAATCAGAGTACTTGTTCGTATAATCAGAATGTTTTAAACAAAATAATTTCGCGAATGCTCAATGACAAGGAAAGAAAATTTTCGAGTTCTATTTTGTATTTTAAAAAAAGCTGTCAATGATATCAAAAAGCCTGGATATAAATTTATCGTGGGTAATAGTTGAAAAGTCGTAAAATTTTAAGCTGTTGATTTTGTCAGAATCTTGTGATCTCAATTTTTTCAAACCCTGTACCCCCACCTCCCCACCCCACTGGATCTGCCCCTAAATAATGCTTTGAACACGTGTTAAACATCTTTAATGAAAAAAATTCCTGCAATTGCAAAGTCTAGTTTTCATTGTAACTTCTTTATTTTTTTTCCTTGGTTAAGCGAAGGGTGCTGTTTTCAATAGATTCAATTCCTTGCCCCCACTCCGGAAAAAGTAAATTATATTAATTTTTTTTTGTCTCTCCAAACCATTGCAAAGATTAATTTATATAACAGTTCTGAATCAAGAATGCAGAAATATGCACTCTAAGTTAGCATGCTTACATAAAAAGTAAAGGATATTTGATTTTTATTTCCAGCAAAGGAAATCTACTTATCCAACAAATGAAATTCTACAAATATTATAAAAAAAGAAATGAATTAACAAACAAAAAATACTTGTCCTTGTTGAGTGCATCTGTAAACGGAAAGAAAAAATGTGATAAATAACATGCAAATGGAAATTGTAATTTTATAAGATGCATTAAGATGTATTCATCAATTGTACTTTACACGTGTTTCATTATCAGCCTATATAAGTCGCCTAAGATTTGGGGACAGAACACCCTCTGAATTGTTATCTGTTGCACTGCAGGTAAACTAGTCAGGTAAGTAAATTTTTTTAAATTAATTTTACAAATCTATAAATCTGTCAAACTAAAAAGTAATTTAATAATTTTCTTTCCCAGTGACTGTGCTTGTTAAATTTCCACTTTATTTCTTCTTTCAAAAATTTAATTTTCATCTTATGTATTATTTTTTACCAATGCTTATTGCGGTTCCCGAAAATATACCATTTTCCAAGATTAAAAACTGAGTGAAAAACCCAAATTTTGAACTCACGACCCCCAATCACGAATCGAGTGTTCTACCGACTGAGCTACCGCGAAAGGTCAATAACAAAAAAAAAAAAACAACAAAAAAAAACAAAGAAATTAAACGAACTTTGTTCATGTTTCTCTATCCTTTTACAGACATCATGAAGACCCTGTTGGTTATCTCTCTCCTCTGCTTAGCTGGCGTTTTTGCCGGATCGGGTTACAAATATGGTTACAATTATGGCAGGCCCTACTACGGAAGTGGTGGTTACTATGGTAACATGAACCCTTATGGTTACGACAACTACGGCTATGGCGGATATTACAATGGTGGATATGGAGGCTATTACCCAAATAGATGTACGTTTACTTTTTTTAAAAAATAATTTAATCCATGATATTTTATCTACAGATAATAAAATACATTTATTAGTTTAATTTTAATTGTTTTCAGATTTTTGAGTATGCTACATGTAATGCGCCCAATATCATACTGCAAATATTTTATTTCAATCCAATTATAGATATTTTCTTATAAATGTATGTTTGGCAGATTTTGTTTACTTGAAAAATAGTCATTTGCCAACCAGGAAGGCTTTGTCTAATAATTATTATTGATTGAAAGTTTAAAATTCAAACATGAAATAAAAGTATTTTTGTGCACGAAAGTTTATTCCGTGCATGGTTTAGAAATATTCTTTGAAGTCCTTGTAACGGTCTCGTAAAAAAAAATTACATTTGTGCCAAGTAATTAAAATATTTTTTATATAGAAATTTAATTTATTTTACGCTTGATTTAGATACTTTATGAGCATCTCCAGTAATATGAAGAAATCTACGATATCTTACAAACGTTTTAGACTATGTATAATAAACGATCTAAAGTTACGGATACATGTATGCAATTACTTCTAATATCTATGGAAACCTTTAAGTTTTTTTTCGTATACTACATTTGATTAATAAGAATATGCATGCATGTTGAGGGTGCTTTGATTTCATTTTCTAACAATATATTTAAACTTTAAAAAAATTATCAATAAAATATTATTAAATTTGATGATGAATTTTGAAGACCTACTTTCGATGAATGTACATTATTTTGAGAATTGGAACATGTTTGTAAGCATTTTCAATTACCAATCTTTTGAAATAAAAGCTCTATTTGTTTTTTATTGATAATGAAATACAAAGTTCCAAAAGCAAACTTAAGGAATACGAGGTACTTCTTTCCCCTTCATAATAATGTATTCATAAATAAAAAAGATTGTCCTTGGTCACCTTCGGAGGCGACTCGAAAAGCGTAAGAATATTCCAAAATCATTTAACAATGAAAAACTTTTTAAATTTAATAAAAGGGTTTTCCTTTCCATTCAAACAAGGTTTTCATTTCTGTAACTTCGTTGTCACATACTTTATTAAAAATAACAAACACAAAGCAAGGCATGGGGTGAGGGGTATCAAGAGATGTCTTTCACCCACTTTAATTTACTAAGCATATAAATATCATTTTATTCAATAACCCCTTTTTATTCCTGTAAGATCGAGCAAAGCTTATGTCCAGGATTTTGGGACAAATTATGTGTGGATATACCTGAAATATAAAACCTTTATCGAGATAGTTAATGCAGCATTTTTTTAGATAGTTAATGCATAGTTTATTGAAGTTGATACATTAATGCTCACACAGCATGTAGGAGACAGTAATATAATTGATTAATTGATACTTTTCCTTCCCCTTGATTTCAAGATATACTGTAAATCAATTATTATTCGGGTCATCTTTTAGTTCGCGGCGATAAATATTCGCAATTTAAAGAAGGTCGTGAAACTCGCAAATATTTCTCGCACGCGAATAAAAGCTGGTTTACAGTATTGTAGACTGAACGGCTAAAACGAATTACCCTTTTAATGACGAACTGCTTATAACGAATCACTTCGTTGTAAAAGCGTTTTACTGTTTATTCATATTTTTTTCTTTTCTAGGCAGTCTAGGTGGAAGTTACTGTATACAGGGTTATTTTCGCTCCGTGTTATTTTCGCCTTTTGCACTTTGAAAACAATTTCGGTCCGTTTCAAATTCGCCTAGTGAAAGTTCTGTTTAAGAAATTTTGCTGTGTTCTTTGAACTCACCCCTTTTAAGGTCGCCCAAACATGAAGAGGGCGAAACGGGAGAAAACAAAACAGGTGCAAACATTTCCCTTGTATACAGTATTCGATCTACTGTTAGGGATAACGAAGTAGGCTTATAACGAGGCCCTGTGTTTTACTGTATGTATATTTTTTTTCTAGACGGCTACTCCTATATGGGAGGCTATCCCGGCTCTTATTATGGTTCCTCTGGTTATCGGTTTCGCCGCGGCAGTTACTAAAGATCCGTACTGCGGATAGGATTTTACGATCTTTTGACAGGTATAGTATGATCGTTGCACAAAGTATTTCAACTACTTTTTTTTCCAGTTTTTCCATTTGTTCTGCTTTCTTTATTTTTGAAAGGTGTAGTATTTTATATATTTCATTACATTTTTTTTTTGATTTCCCATATACATGTACATGTATGTGTGATATCTCTTTATGATAAAGTTATTTTTAACATATGTAAACGAGGCTTGAAACTTAATTATTTCAGGTATTTTTCTTGTTTCATCTTTTTCAGAGAGTAAGTAAGAGAGGCTATGGAAAAATCCGAGAAGTGAAAATTATATGTGTAAGATCTGAATAAATATTTGAGTAGTTGAATCTGTTGTTTTTTCTTTAACTGTAGAGGTTCTATAATATTTCTTCTTGGTTATTACATTTGATGATTAGATTTAAATATTGTCAACAATAAATAGTGTAAAAACGATACGTTAAAAAAAATCACTAAACTAGTAAGACCCAGGCCGCTCCAGAGCATGATCTTTACTATATATCCACACTGTAAAAAAATAACTAGTTAATATCATGAAGAAAACTAGTAGATTCACTGTCCATACAATCACTACCTTAACAGTAGTTTTACCAGATATTGGTATATTTACTAGATCAGATTAGTAAATTTAGAATTGATGAGTATCTACATGACCCACCTTCCACAACTCACTATCGTAACCAGTAAACTGAAAGTTTACTAATCACGACCAACGCTTTACGAAACACACTAGTTAAATTCACTATAGGTTTTTCTTTCAGTGTAGATGAAAAATAAAATGAATGAAGATAGAATACCTACTTATTGTTAAATGTAGATAAAATGTTATAGTAGCTAACAGAGATAGCCAAAAAAAAAAAACAGGCAAAAATACAACAAAATTTACTATCAAAACAAACCAAAAACAAGCAAGCAAACAAAACAAATATAGTTTATTACCGTAAATTACATCACATTGACATGATCCTGAGTGTTTAAAGATAATGACAAAGAAATGTATTGATTTCCTTGGAAAGTGTTTTATTTTAAGTATTTTTAAATCCTATAGTAACATCTTTTCCAAACTGAAAATACATTGAGTTAACAAAGAAGTATATTTAAATATTTAATTTTATTAGCAATCATTTAATGTGGCATCAGAGTTTCAGCCGAGTTATGACTTTAAGATAAGTTTTCTATGTCATCAACACATAAATTTACTTTATATTGCGATCGGTTTCATGGTCAGAAAAAGATATATAACAAGTAGCCATGGTCGCTGTAATTAAAACATATAATTAGGTTAAAGGGTCAAGTCTTAATTTGGAGCCTATTTGCCTATACTGGAACTTCAGAACAAACAATTTTAAATTTCTATGGTGGGTTCAGATGTCTAGGAGGAGTAAGCACCTCCTATTGTAGCTGCAGAACTGTACGTAGCTCTCTGCTTGAGAAAATTCGGACAGATAAAGCAGAGAGCTACAGATCCAAGCGTTGTAAAAACCTTTGATTTACGCCGACGATTTTTTTTGTCGCTCACTATGGGCATTTTTTCGTGTATTTTACATGTATACTTTCCCCAGCTTTGAAAATAATTGTAAATGGTATCTAATAATTAATCATACATTCAACTTCAATTCCTACTCATTTACCCACCTCTCAACGCTAGCAAATGCCTGTTTGTGGTTATGGACGTCGAAATGGAACTCTTTTAAACTGACATTATAAAAACTATATACAGGACTGTTTCGGACCGTTAAAAGGTAAACAAATTATCAAATATAAGAGTTAAATATATGAATTATTATAGGACCATTCTAAAAGCCAGAGGAAGCTTAAACTACACGAAATAAATACCTAAAGTAGCGACAAAAAATCGTCGGCGTAAATCGAAGGATTTTACAACGTTTGGATCTGTAGCTCTCTTCTTTATCTGTCCGAATTTTCTCAGGCAGAGAGCTACAGTTCTGCAGCTACTCTTATTGCATAGCCACGCCCGTCGTTATCACTGTGTGTTGGTCAAAAGAAGGAAGTTATGGCATTTGAATTCAGTTGAAAGGCAGATACGTTATAGATAGTAGGAAAAATAAAAAACAATTTTAATGTGTCATAACCATCTGCTCCAAATTTCACCATTTTTTTTTTATTTCCAAACGTTGATTTTCATCGACAACAATAGCATTAGATTCAAATGGAAAATAGTGTGAATCAGGAAGCGATGCTTACTTTTTTAGAAATGAATAATATGTCAAATCATGATATGAAGAAAATTTGATATGGTAAATAAAAAGATGAATTATTTTATCTCACAATAAAATTAGAAATGAGGTATATATATGAAAATAACATTTACTCTTATACCTATCTTATTCTCATTAGACAACATACTGAAGTGTTGCTTTCTACATCAGAATTTCAAATTATTTTCTGTGTTTGTAAAATAATACGCATCCATCAACAAGAATAATCTTTCCATTATCGCCTTGAATATGAATTGATTGTTTATAAACAATTCTGAATCTGCAATTTCTGTAACAATTAAATGACTTAAACGTTATGAGATAGAAATTTCTCAATTTACACTGTTTAAAGAAACAGGGTATAAATGTTTTAGATAAACTATTAAAAATAATTAATGAAAAATATTGGCAGTAGAAACTATAAGTCAACATCTGTACGATAGAATAAATTCGATTAAGTTGACTGTTAAATTTGTAAAACCTGACATGACAAGACATGACATGACAATTCATTGGATTCATGGCAAAATGTCTTCAGTTATCTTTCTTATCAGAGGGATATTCCACCTGAAAATTAAACAACATACATACAAACAAATAAACGAAAGGATATTTTGGATAACAGGGTTTATCTCAGGAGATTGTGTATCTATTGTCGGTTTTTGAATGGAAGTGAATTTTAGTAACTGATAGTTCGTCGTATATATACTGTTAACGAACTTATATCCGCATGCTAAAAATATCCGAAAGTTTCGCGACGTCCTTAAACTTACGAATATTAATCGCCGCCAACCAATTTGTTTTCTTTGAACGTCAACAAAGGTTTCTGCAGGATTATTTTTTGTGTTTTTTAATTTTGCTAAGAATTATTCAGCCACAGGCAACTGGGGAAAATTCTTTTTTTCCAAGTGTTGTTAACCCCCCTTCCTCGCGGTTATGCATGTAAACGCGTATACCATTACCTATTTCTAACTTTATATCACCAATATACTGTTTCCCTACAATCACGCATTTTTCACGCACTTTGAAAAGTACATTTAGTCTTTAATGTAATGCCAATTTTCTTCTATTTTATACTTGTTATAGTCTCATAAAATAAGAAAAGTTACTATTTAAAAAAAAAATATTACACCATAACATTATTTACGCTAAATTAAGTGTATGTTGCATAACACTTCAGTAAGTTGTAAAGAGTTAAAGGGCACTCTCGTTTGAAGTCATCATTTCGTTAGGTTATTGGTCGATACAAAGATCGTGTCTGCAAACATAACTTATCAAAAGTCATTTAGTACTGACTGATTATTTTAACCCTATTAAATGATAGAAAAGTAGCTTTACACTACCTCCACTGAATCCTTTTGCAAACGAGGGAGTATTGATTAAACCGTCTGTATGAAACAGATGATTGCTTATCCCAAATATAGATTTCTCTGTCGATTTTATTTAGTTTTCAACAAATTATCAAATTATGAAATTTCTGCTGTCGTTTACTTCTATTTAATAAGACTGACCATACTTTCTTTTTAAATGTATTTTCGTATCGTCTTTGTTTTGAATAAAAGAAATCACAACTGTAGTGCATTGGATAAAATATACTGATTAACCCAGTTATTATTAAATATAAATTTTGCAATCGGGTAACTTTTTTCGCCATTCACTCAGATTAGTATGAACACATATAATACATTGTTTAACAACATGGAATCGATGTAAACCTCTTTTTTTAAATTGGAATGTTTAGGAATGTTTTTTTTTTAAATTAGAATGTTTAGGAATATAAAACAATTCTACAAAATGATTATGAAGCGAATATCAATCGGAGGAACGTTTATCCCGATCTAATAAAAATACACTTGCATTGATTTTTTTTCTAAATCACTGAGAATACAAGATACAAGATACAAGATTTTATCAATCCAATTTGGGCCCCCGGAGGAGAATACAAATAAAAACAAGCATGATGATGATATTACAAATAAAGAGTATAAAAAAAATTGTATATCGATCTGAAACCTCTACAAAAAAAGATTTTATAATTGCCCACCCTCAGAGAATTACCCGTATCCTTGAAGTGCATTATCCCTCCAGTATATATGTATAGGAACCCCCACCAATCCTCAATCAAAACAACTAAAAATTCAACGGTTTTTCGCGTCATCTTTTATTCGAAAATTCGTCATTTTGAAATCGATCCGCGACAATTAATGTTTGTGATTGAGGAAACATTCTCGAGCTCTTGGAATTCTAGGGAAAATGATCGGTTCAAGGCAATTAATATTTGCAAGTTAAAGTTGGTCGCGGAACTCCCGGATTTTTACTCGCATGCGAATAGATGTTGGTTTACCGTCATAAATCTGGGATCAATACGAACATTTCTTAACATATACTGTAAAAGTAATTACAGATCAATCAGTTTGTGGTAAATATCACGTTACCAAGTATATAAAAGGTGTGATTGTCACTAACAATTTATCCATTTTTTAACATTGAAAATATTTCGACATATTGCGTCTGTAATAGTTTCACCAGTTCTGGTATTCTAAGGGATTATACATTGCACATTGAAGCATTCCTAAAGTACATTTGTAGTTGGTACTGATGATCGTCCTGTTTTACAACTCGGAAACAGCTTATTGAATGCTACTCAAATGTGACTTCAGATTTAAGTATTCGAGAGGGCGGAGGCAAATCCCTTCCTTGGTGAGTACGATCTTTTCTTCGTAAACATTGTCTTTTACGAATAGTTTTTGATTGGTTTATAACGTTCACATGACTATTCTTTTGAAATAATACTACAACAAACAGAAGTTTGACTTATGAATCGCATTATAATTACTAACTGCCCTGTAATGTTCACAAGAAATTTTGCAAAATCAGCATTTATCTACCCATCATCATGTTCACGCACCCCAATTTTTTTTCCAGGTCTTCCATTTCATATCATACTGGTTATTTTGATAAGAAGAATAGTACTGTCATCATAATTACAAAATATTTGCAGAAATATGGATAGATTATTTTATATTTTTGTATTGTATGGGCGTGGTGGTTATCAAAACTCTTATTGTAAGTATAATTGTAACTTTTGTAAAATTTGATCTGTAAGCAGC